CACAAGTGATCTTAGAATGGAACAGTGCATGACTAACTCCATTAGACTTTACTTAATTTGCACAAAAGAAGAAACACTAAACAAAGTAAAGGTAAGTTTGTTAGAAAAACAATAAGCTCTCACATTCTCAGTCAAAATTAGCTCAGTTGATTTTGAACTCATCTCATTAGAATTTTTCATCTCTTTTCCTAACTCAATGCCCTCAGTTTTTACCTCATGTTCAAGTTCTACAATATTACTCACACTCTCATGTATTACAATAATTTTCTCGCATACTTTCCCAACTAGTTCATGACCAGAATCTAATTTAGATGCGACTTCAAGATTTTCAATCGCATGTTCATTGCTCGACTTCAACTCATTGTCAACCTCCTCAACAAATAGTTTAATAGAATGAGATACTCCTTTGTTAGGAATAGACTCAGTTACCTCCTCCTTAGAAGACTCACATTGATGGCATCTATTTGACTCCATTTGATTTTGGCATAAAAGATGTTGATGTGTCTCCCAAAATGACTCCTCATGCAATGGTTCAACTCTAGGTTTAGGCCTAGGAGATGTTGAATGAACCTTCTTATCGCTTCTTGAATAAGTTGACTTTGAAGAGGTAGATTATATGAAACTAAATCATGTAGAACCCCTCCCCCTGACATCCTTGTTCACTATGTGGTCAAGGCGTCTATGAAGAGGCTCAAAAGCTTCATGCAAAATTTGCTTAAGTTCACCCGTCATATCTTCCATGTTAAGATGAAAATCAACTTGTTGGCAACTCCTTACACCTTGGTTTGACATTGTGAGGTAACCTGCAACAATGGTTAGTGGAGTAAAAGAAATTCATCACGCATTCCCTTAGTATTTACACTCAATACCAGTGTTTTCACTCAACATACTCTAAAGATCTCACCACTCTTTCAAGTCCTTGTTAACAATCCTTGAGACAATATGAACTGCTCACAATTGATCAAGATGGCTCAATAATTCAATTAACACAGTGGCAGTGGTTATGAGTTCAAGACCATAGATTGGATTGAGTCAATGAGACTTGACTTAAAAAATTTGGAAATTTCGTAACACTCGATAAACGGGAGTTTTCCATCATGTATTTGTGGCTGGAACTACTAGAATTTATGAACTAAAGCTACTAGAGTAAAAAATGAAAATAATGACATAAGAAATCTAGGAAATCAACTCAAACAAGGCTGGAAATTTTTGACTCTTCGAAGGAAAACCTTGAATTTGACACTTTGAAGAGAAATCTGGAATTTTTGGTGTCAAACTTAGGATCTAAACCACTATAACTTGGACGTGGTTTCTGGACTTTCAAGGATGGATTTTACAGATAAAACTACTAGAAAAAGAACCTGGCTATTGACACAAAAATTCTGGTGTGAACCAACACAAGAATAAGTTGGCTTGAAGTTACTCGGTTCTAGTTCTTGATGTGCACAACCTGGAAAATTTTGTTGGACTAATTTATCTTGGAGAATATAGATTTAACACCCTTTTCCCACTGTTGCAAGGATTTCAAAGCTAGCTTCAATGAATTTTCTAAGAAGTAATTGGTTTAAAGGCTGTCGGGCTCACTAGGACAAATTAGAATGGGATTTGGATTCTTTGATGTGGCTGTTTTGTTGTTTTATTGTTTCAACCAATTCAAGAACTCCTCAACACGAATGAAGCTCAAGTTCTGGAAGCTTTAGGAATCAAATTCGTGGCTGTGATGATTTTTTTCTTTTATACACAACAGCCAAGAACTTCGAGAAATAAGGAACTTGCTGCTGGAATTTTCTTTGCAGCTTTGAATGTTCAAGACTTCAGTTCCCAAAAACCCAGAAAACTTCAAGATTCTGATCAAGAACATATGTAGATGTTTCCAAAATCAAGAAACAACAAAAATTTGATGAATTAGCCCCCCAAACAGCTCACAATCCCTTGGTTTAAACAAGGCAGTTTTAGAGTGGGACAAAGTTTCAAAATTCGAGTCTACAACTTCAAGAATCTCAAGAATGTGTTTCAAATAATCAAGAACTTCAAGAATTGTTGAAGTTTTAACTCAAGTTCCAAGAAATTTTTGCAAGGTCTGTCCACTTTTATCACAATTCTAGAATCACTGACAAAACAATCAAGAACCCTAGGACACAACTTCGGATTCCTTAAGAAGACACAACTTGTAACTTGTTTCCAAGAACTAATGACTGGTACGTTGTTTTATTGACTCAAACTCCCATGAAATCATGAAACAACATTCACACAAGGTGCTGGAAACAAGAAACAAAGATAATCAACAAAACTAAAACAGACAGAAACAAGAAACATGAAACCCTAATCTTGATACGCGACTAAAAGAAACCAACGGCTGGAATCTTTTTTTGTCAATTTTTTTTCTGGAATGATTGCCATGAAATAAGATACAAATTAACATGAAATTTCTAGACAAAAACCAACAAGAAACAATGACTAAAACTTTGGATGGATTGCACAAGAAACAAACTTGATGAACAACAAGATACCAGATACGACGAATATGAACCCTAGCGATTCTTAGAGACAGCAATGGATTATTGTTTTCTTTTTTTGAATTGGGTAAGGTTTGGTAGAAGAACAAAAAGTAAAAAATAAGAAAAAAAAAAAAAGGATATTAACCTAGATCAAGAGTTGAAACTCTGATACCAATTGACGTGAACCCGATTCTCCAAGGACCGCTCGAGAAAAAATCGAATCGATCAGACAGTGAAAGGATCTATCTTGATCAGGCTATGGATACAAAAGATAGATTTTAAACCAATCAAAGACAGTTCAAGATTGCTTATAAGGGTAGGAAGGCACCACAATTCAACGCGATCTTAAATTGATAAGCCAAAACTTGAATAAAAGAGACGCGACTCACTTTGTATTAAGGGAGTTCACAAAGGAACAATAAAGAAATGAACTCTTAATTTACTTTCACAAATCGTCTTCTTTTTCATGATGCCTTTTATAGGCTTACAAGACTCAACTCCTAACTTAATTAGAATTAAGACTTAACTAGACTAAACCTAATTCGGCTAAGCAAAAACTAACTCTAATTCGGCTCCAACATTGGTCCACATGACCTAGTCGTGTAGTTCACTAACTAATTACTCACTAACCACGGACCACAAAAAAATTAAAAAACATAAAACATAACCAATCCATGACTCTTAACTAGGTCTTAAGCCATGGTCCCATCGTCCTTACTTAAGTCTTGCACTTGTTTTTAATTCTATTCATTGGATCCCAACGAACCATGAGTGGATTTTGAAATAAGGCACGAGCAGCTCTTAGGACTTGTATCATTTGTACTTTCTTTAGCTAGTTGATTTAGTTCTTGAAATTTTGGATGTGAATTCCTTTAGCCATTTGTTGCGTGCAAGATGTTCGATGAAATGCTTATGTAAAGTTGAATTATATTTACATAATATTTTTGGTGCTGCTGCCTACCCTTTAACTTGCTTAGAGAGAGGTGAAAAAAACTGTTGTTATTGAATATTAGATCCATAATCTACTTATCACGGTAGTGAATGCAAGAACACGTATTGTGAACTAAAGAAATAGTAAGGAGTGCTATATAACTTCACAACCTTTTAAGTTTTGGAGGCCAAAAAGTTTTGAAGTCATGAAGATTCTTTTTGTATTTTGGGTTTCTATTTTGGTAGTAGTTTGGGTTTTCTGTTTTGGATTGAAACTATTAAGGAATTGACATTTCAAGAAAAATTATTGGTTGATTTTGCTTGCTTTAAAATTTTTTTATTTATTCTTTTGCAATGGACTTACACTCATTTTGACTAGCGACGCCAACCACAAAAAAAGAACATGAAAGCATTTCAGAGGGAAAAGGAAAAGAAGTCAAACTCACCCGGCATAGATGTGAATAGGGGTGCAAACGAGTCGAGCTCGAGTCGAGCTTTGGCTAATCGAGCCGAGCTCGAGTCGAGCTTTGGCTAATCGAGCCGAGCTCGAGTTAATTTTGTGAAACTCGAACTCGAGCTCGAGCTCGACAAGCTCAAAATATCAAGCACGAGCTCGAGCTCGAGTCAAATTCGAGTTGAGCTCGAGCTCGAGCTTAAAAAATAAAAAAATAATTATTATTATTTTATTTTTAAAAAATAAAAAATAATTATTTATTTTTAAAAATGAATAAAATAATAATTTTTTTAATAAATAATAAAATATTAGGGATATATATGTAATTTTACTATTAAAATAAAAAATCAAAAAAATGTATAATTGAGCTCGCGAGCTGCTCGCAAGCCAACGAGTTTAATGTTTTTGAGCTCGAGCTCGAACTCGAGATCGACTTAATTAGCTCGAGCTCGACTCGAACTCGATATTGACGAGCTCGAGTCGAGCTCGTATTCGAGCCGCTCGCGAGCCGATTGCGAGCGGCTCGATTCGCGAAACACCCCTAGATGTGAATGAGACAGTGAGGTAACTTACTCCAAATTTAGTCATGGTGTCTTGGTTATTTCTTATTTTGAGCATTATCCTACCATTGTTGGGTTTTTTTTTTGGGTTCCTTGTTTTGGTATCCATGCTGTAGACACCAAAATTTTGTTATTTTTCTTTATTTTATTCCATTTTTTTTAGTTTTTAGTTCATTTTACTTAAATTTTATTTATTTTGTTTCATTTTCTTGAGAAAATTATTTTTACTTATTTTTAGAAAATTAGAAAAAAAAAAAAAGAAAAGAAAAGAAATAACAAAATCAGTTTTCTAAAAAAAAAAAACTGTTTCACGCGTGTGTGCAATCAATACAGAAACGGAAATTGCAAAGACCATTTTTGGCCTTCAATTCCACTCGGTTTTGTTTTTTCCTTTTCCCCAACCCTTTGCCAACTCATCTCCTTTATCTTTATCAAGATTTTTCTAGAAGAAATGCCATCTAATGGCTCAAAATTTTGAGAAAATACCATCCTTCATCCTCACCTTTGAGGTAAGGATTGTGGGATTTTTGTTGCCTATAAAAAGGCTCATAAACGCGGCCAAGACAGTGGGGTAGAGAAGAGGGGTGGCGGAGAGATCAAAAGGAGAGAAAAACAGCAAAGAAAGAGAGAAAACGAGAGAAAAGAGGAAGAAAAAGTGCAGGAAAAATCTTTTAGAAAAACTGAGCCAGGGTTGGTGATTCAGTCACTTTCCCTGCTTCATTCCGATGCCCCCAGAGCTTCTCGTGGGAAGATTTCTTTTTCTGGAAAATCTACGTTGATCGAGGAGAAGATTTTGTGTTGGAATTTTTTAGAAAAAACCTCTGCAACATCTCCAAATCCGGGCTTGAACCTGTTGTTACCTTTATCATTCTTAAAGTTTCTGCAACAAAGTTCCTGGCTTCCAGATTTGAGCTTTGAATTCCACTTTTCTCAATTTCTCTGTGTGTTTTCCTTTGCTTGCTGCAATCCACAAAGAAAAAATCTTTAACTCATCAAAAGAGAACCTTTTCTCAGATTATGCTTTCATGGATTTATAGTACGGGTTCTATGTTTTTGTTGGGTCTGATACATCTGGTTTGAATAGAAGATGACAAAATTTTGGAAGTAAATGTGGGTGTGTAAGCTCTGTGGTTCGCAATCAAAGTTAACCCATGGATAAAAGCCGGTTGCTTTTCTTTCTACTTGTGAATCTAAAGGAAGAGGGGATTTTGAGCCTTTAATTTCATGTTTTTCTGTTATTTTCTTGTTGAATTGGGATTCTTGTTGGGGTTTAGCTAATAAATTCAGGGATTCTGTTTGAGTTTTGCATGAATACTTGTGTTGAATAAGCTGCTAAGAAAACTGCAGCAAGGAAGCTTCCGAATTTGCAGAAAGGAGAAAGCTTCTTCGTACAAGGCTGCATGAAAGCTTCTGAAATTATCGTTTTGGCCCCTTAACTTTTAGTTAATTCTAATATGGCCCAAAAATTGGAAAAATCAATCAATTTTACCCTTTTAAAATGCAATTTTTTTCTTATATTTTGAGCATGTTTTTTGATAGATTAGTTCTGGATTTTAGGACATAATTATAGTTAAGTAATTTTTAGTTGATATCTTTTCTCATGTTAGGTCTTAATAAAAACAGGTTGGTTTGGGTAGAAGGTTATTTTGTTTGGGTTTAGGGTAATGGGTTGTTGGTTTATTTTTTCAGGGTTTTTGGCTTGGACTTGAGAATGAAAGCCCATGCAATGTTATTGAGCTGATTTGGTAAAAGGAGTAGGCTTGGCCTATTATTTTTCTTAGGGCTTTCGGTCGGGCCATGTGGCCTTTGGCCCAAAGAAATGCTGAAAATGGTCCAATGGCCTTCTGCTCAAGTAATCTGGTAACGAAATTTCAAATTAGTCCCTATATCTTTCAATCATTATATTATGGCCCTAAAAACTTTAGCTTTATTTCTATTAGGTCCCTATTTTTAATTTCAATTTGGTCCCTAAACTTTATTTTTATTTCATTTTAACCCTAAAATTTTTAATAATTATAATTTGACCTCTAAAACTTTCTTAATTTTTGTAATTAAGTCCCTAATAGTTTTGATTTCTTAAATATAAGTTACCTTTCTTCTTTAATTGTTAATTCTACTTCATTTAAGTGCTTTAATTTGTAGATTTCATGATTATTTCTATTTATTTATAATTAAATTGGTGCCTGAATTATTTTATTGATTTTGGAGCATAATTATGGCAAATTTCACCCCCATTGAACCACAACTTCGAGAGAGGTAATCTCTTTTATTATTTTAAATTCCTTTATGTGCTCCAATGTGTTTTATGTGCAATTGCATGTTTTGAATTTTTTTCTTTTATTCGTTATTATTCATTTTTATTCATTTTAAGTTTCATTTGTTTTATTTAATTTTGATAATTATTTGTGAGGCATTTAACGCCAAATTATAATAGATAGGAGTTCAAGACATGTATTTAGTTAGGCTATGTAATAGATAGGTTTTAATTTTGCCAAAATGTAATTAGTTAGATAAATGTAATAGTTAGGTTATTATTATTCTAATTCCCCCCCTAGATTGTAGTTAGAACCCCGAATGTAATAATTAGGCTTTTATTTGCGTCTATTTGTTTGTATGCTTGCATGCTTGTGTGTTTATGTGTTTATTCGCTTTCTTTAGGGCCTTTGCATCTAGATATCATGCCTACGTGTTATGTGCATTTATGTGTTTACTTGGTTTAATTATACTTTATATGATTTATTTAGTTATAACAAATGCATGACGTCACCACACTAGTCCAACACTAGTTGTGATTTTTCCCCCCGATTACTCACTAGTCCAACGCTAGTGAAAACTTATAAACATGAATTAGTTCAATGCTAGATCCTTGGGAACCGTCTACGCGCTAAATCATGTTTGCGTGACAATCGTTACATTTCATGCATATTTTTTATTTTTTAGGATCCTTACCATTTTGCATGATATTTCTTCTATATGTATATCTCTTATCCCTATGTGCGAAATATAACATTTAGATTTGCATTCCATTTTAGGAAATTAGACATAGGTTAGTTCATTTGTTTGACTAGAATTTGGAGACTTGCCCTTCAAATATGAGAAATAGACGAGTATGACTTCTTAGCTTTAACACGCTCGTATCTCCTCTATAAAAAAGAAAATTGAGTCACAAATATAAGTCCCCATACCCGTTATGTTGCATTCCTCTTTTAGGTCACGTATACTTATATATTATAATTTTTCTTTTCTTCGAGTCTCACTCTTTACATATTCGTGACATTTTTTAAGAATCAGTTTGGGCATCACAATTAATGTGATTTGTACCAATTAAACTTTGAAAAATATTTTGACCCTCCTGATATCCATTAGGTTTAGATTTCTTAACGGATCTTCTGTCTCACATTCTGTACCACTCTCTGTGCCACTTTTTATTATATTGCTATTTCTCCTTTACAAACATCATGTTTTAATTCTTTTTTATTTCCTTATGATCCAATAACTATTAATTGAGTAATACACAAAATTTAACAAAGTCATAAAGTCAAAATGCATAAAAAATGAGATTTTTATGAATTTTCTGCTGTATTTTTTAATTTTCTATTATATATTAGCTTTTTGAAACTGTTGTATTTATTTTTTATTCAATTAATAGTTATTAGATCATAAAGAAATAAAAAGGAATTAAAACATGATGTTTGTGAATGAGAAATAGCAATATAATAAAAAGTGGGACAGAGAGTGGCACAGGGTGTGGGACAGAAGATCCGTTGCGGATTTCTTAACGGCCAACGAAATGTAGTTTCCTATTTACGTAAATGAACTAGTTCGCAAAAATATTTGGGGGAGGTCATAATGTTATTATATATATATATATATATACGTATGTATATATGAAAGTAGCTATTTTAATTAGAATTATTTTTCACTTCTACGTGGCATGTTTAATTGAAAAGAATTAATGGATTATAAGTCACTTGGGTTTTCCTTATATTAAATCCTAATTGGATTATATTATATGTTTAAAAATTATTTCTAATTTTAAAATAACTTTTAAAAAATAACTAATCTTATTTTAAAGATATTATTTTAAAAAACAACTAATCTTATCTTATTCTATCAAATTATTACATATAGAACTCTAGTAAAACCTTTTTCAAATCACAATTATTGAAATCTTATATATCCCAAATTACTTCCTTAATCACAATTATTGAAATCTTACATATTCTAAATTACTTCCTTTCATTACCACACCGTTGATTAATATTCAAATTGTTCATCATTTCTTCCCTTAATTTTGAATTAATTTAGTGTAAAAATGAAAATTAACTGTTGCACTAATAGATTTACCAATATTGTTGGAAACTGAATATTTATTGATGAAGAAAAATGAATTGCTAGATTTTTTCTACTTAATTAAATATAAATATATAGTTCTAGATTTATGATTATTATAAAAATTTAAATTATCTAAAAGAATATATGTAAAAAAATCTACCAAATTTTTGATATAGGATACATGATTTAATTTATACTATCATATTATAGTGAAAGTATGTAAACAAATTTTTAAAAATTAGTAAATAATTGAACATTTAGAATACATTAATTTTTTAAAGTTAATGCAGATGAACATGTAGAATTGTTATTAACTTTTATATTTAAATTATTTATATTTATATAAATTCATAATAATTTAAAAAAAAAAGACCGTCGGGCAAAATTCTAGTTGATATTTTAAGACGCAAAATGCTAATCGCAATTAGTTCAAGGTCCAAAGCAGTGCAATTAACGGCCCCTTAATTAAACTTCTCACAGACTAACGAGACGATTGGAAGATTGCTTCACTGAACCCTTTGCAATTTCTTTCTCCTTCAAAGCCTCAACTCTGTATCTTCTTGAACAGAAATTCATAAATGCAGTTCAAAATTTTTGAGTAATTAGAAAAAAGGGATAAGGGTAAGGATGAGTATAGTTCCAAAGGAGACGATTGAAGTCACTGCGCAAAGCATTGGGATAAACAACTTGTCCCCAGATGCTGCCCTTGCTCTTGCTCCTGATGTCGAATACCGCTTGCGCGAAATCATGCAGGTCTTTTTCCTTAAATTTGTTTTCTGGGCTTCACTTTTTTGTATAGTTTTTGTTTTATTTTTCTGCCTAATTAGGAATTTAAGCTGTATATGGCATGAAGATGTTGTGGGTGTCTCTGTTTCTGCTGCATGGAAATGTTGGGAAAAGTTGGGAATAATGAAAAGGAAAGAAAAGAGGAAATGACTGATTAATATCTGAAGAAGTTTCTTGCACTTTTTTTTTTTAATTTTTATTTACATGTGTGTTAATTTAGAGAAAACTAGTCGTGTTTGATTAAATATGTTATTGATTTTGATGCGCTTTCTGCATTTAAATTTCTGATTTTGGGTTGTTAATCATTTTTTTGACGTCAATTGTATGCAAAATATAAGCTTTGTTACAATAGGTTAGTGACTAGAATTCTTGACTGAGAAATCATGGACTGTAGATGTGTAAGTAGATTACATACGTTAATATGCAGAGACCTACAAATAAACAAGATTTGTGTATTGTGCGAGATGCAAGAAGGAAGAAAGAGATGACGTTTAGGTTTTCACTGAATTTGTGGCCTTTTTTCTTTTAATGACTGTAGTAGAAGAGATGCTACCATGTTACTGAATTTATGGGGATGACAAAGCAAGGAAAGTAAAGCTTGTTGATGGTAGAAAACAAAGCTGTCAATACTGCAAATGGAGGGAAAACCAAGTTTTGGTGCTTAAGGAAATGTGCTGGCCTGTGCTGCTGATCCTTTCTCATTTTTTGTCATTTCTTCCATTTCCTTTTCTCCCATGTATAATGTTGACATGGCTATACCAACATGACAGATAAACCACTACCGTGTTCCTTTGCTGCTAGTTGAAAACTGTGAATGTATTAAAGAGTCGATTCACGGGCTCTAGGGAAAAATGGCATGAAGCAAATGTCCTATTACCCTTCTATCTCTTTCTGGTTCACCTTACTCATTAAGCATGGTGAATTGGACCCCATCATATAAATCACTACTGTAGAGTTTAATATAATCTTTTATGATACTTTTGCCATTTGATGTGCATATTCTGAGGCACATCTCCATTTGTAGACATCCACTTGATATGTGTCTCGCAATAGATCAAACTCCTTGATAATGTAAAAGATTTGTGTTTTCTTCCCTCCCTTTTCTTGATGGATGACCGGTTGTTGTGCTGCTCATTGGAGTTTGTGCATGCATGAACCTACATAATGATTTTGTCTGGTAGTTTTCTAATGGGTATGAAAGAGGTTTGTATAGCCTATTCTTTAAAACATTCTAGTGGTCATACTGGTGAAATGCAACAAGTTGCAAAATGGTGACAGGCATGAGTTGGTGGGGAGAAATGTCCAGTAAAGCTAGTGATGACTTTTTTGTTTATGAGCAAATGATAGGCGAAGTATACCCTAGATTGGTTTCATTCTGTGTTTTTTGGGTTGTGAACTGAAGTATGGCCCTGACTTTACTTATTCATGTGAGGCCTTTCGAAGTTGAAGAATGTGTTTCAGTGAAATCTAAATGTGCTTCTTGTCATGTAATTGAAGGAAGCTATCAAATGCATGCGCCATTCCAAGAGAAATTTGTTGACAACGGAAGATGTTGATAGTGCACTCAGATTACGGAATGTTGAGGTAGTTTCCATCCTCAGTACATCTATGATAGTGGAATAATAATTTTAGCTTGTCATATATTCATCAACATTGTGGTTTATGACTTGTTCAATTCTTGCCAATTATTCATAAGATTTTAGTATCTCATTCAGAACCTGATCTAACTTGATTTGCATGGTTCTACTTCTAGAGTGAATGATTACTTATTCCAGTATATTTTGTCATTATATTTGATCAAAAGTATTATAGAGAAGTTTACTACTGAGTATTAATTTTGTACTTGCCTTCTTAGTAGCTCTTTTGTGTTTGAGGAGTACTGCAGTATATATTTGGGGTTCTAGATTTACTTCCACCCTTTATAGACAATTGGTTTTCTTTCTATCCTGTCATCCTTTGTCTTTATTTAATTGAAGATTTTTCTAATTTTTTTCCAGCAGGGAAGGGATGGGATTTAAGAAGTGGGGAGGGGGAAGGGGGATTTGAACCCAGAACCTATAGGTTCTGAGGCCTCATCCTTAGCCACTAGACCAAGGCCTTCTCGGCATTTAATTGAAGATATTCATGTTGTCTAATTTGGTAATTGATTTGTTGTTTGTAGGAGTAACCTGGGAAACAATAAAAATTAAGAAGGATCAATGTGCACACTGGATTGTGTTTGTATGTCTCTCTCATCGGTTGTGTATCTATTGGCTTGTGCCAGTGAGATTGAGAGGAGTATATAGACAATTATAAAAAGAATAGGTCTGTTGATGTGGCTGTTGGTATGCATGAGTTATGAATCTTCAAAAGAAGATCACAATGTAAAGGAACTGTGAGAACCGAATTCTGTTAAAGTACCAGGCAAGTGAAGAATATTCGTGGTTAGATTTAGAGTGTATCAGGTTGGTTCTTGATGTCTCTAAGATGCATATGTATGTAGGTTAGACAAG